AGAGTATCATGGTATGGACGTGCATGAAGATGAGGATGTGAACTCGAGGGTGAGTTCTCCTCAACTCGAAGGAAATGATGGAGATCTAACAACAATTAGCTACAAGTATCTTCTTTCGGAGCGACAAATTCCTCATAATTTTTACTCACATTTGGACGATGAAAACCCTAGGAGGGTAAACAAAAAGAGCAAGAAACAGTTTGGGTATAACTTTTTTTTAGTTTTTAGGATATTTTAGCCTTTTTTTTATTTCATCGTTGGACCAAACTTTTTAGACATTTTAATTAAAGTTAGAAGTTTAGTTTTAAGTTATATTTAAGCTATGACATTTTGGTCAAAAGTTATTTGTATGAACAAATAATATCCAAACCAATAATTTTCAATATAAATTAGAGCTTAGATGAGCCGGAGAGACATTCATGTATTCCTCTTTAATAAAAGAAATATTTGTCTTGTAAAAAAATGCTTAAGGCTTGAGCTCTATGTGAGAGAAATCCTTAGGGTTTCTCCAAAATTGCTCTAGGTGGGAGCAAGCCTTAGGGTTTATCCAAAATTGCTTGTGTCAAGATGCTTATTGTTGAATTTTTATATTTCTTCAAATTCTCCTATATCACTTTTTTTCTTGTTTCACCTCTAGAATTTGAATGTCTCTTTCATTTATTACTTTCTTCTATATTCTATAAATTAATAGAAGTATATGTTTTACTTTGATTTCTTTTTTAAGTGACAAACTGTGTAAAAATGCCTGAGTCTACATCAGACTATGCTTTCTTATTTCTTTTCTTTTTCATTATCATTACCATCATATTATAATCTCTGATTTCTTTTCTTTTATCATTATCGTTGCAATTACATTTATTATTAGGGTGTGATTTGTATAATGTTGCAACCCTAAGCAATTAAATTAAGGCACACCTCTAAATTTTATCATAAGTATAATTTTGGTTTCAAAATTTATTAGGATGTCTTGAAAATCTATTTTCATCTCTAATTATAAAATCTTAAATTCCAAAAATGGTTCAAATCAATTAGATCTTTAAACACTTGAAAATCTTGAAAATGGACAATCCAGTTGCAAGATAACTATTTTTGAGAACTGAAATCTTTTTTCTCTTTCATATTCATAGATCTCGATGTCGAGATGATAAATTACAGGAATATTTTATGGTAGATTTTTCCTTATTGTAATAAGAATTCATTTTATCATTAACAACTATGAAGGCCTCGGAATTTAATTCCAAAGAGAGTAATATACAAAATGAAGTGGAGAGAGAGCACAAAGAGTTAGATATACGATAAGAAAGGAAACGAATAGTGAAGGGGAGAAAAAACAGAATGCAAGAGTTTAGAGCAATACAAAAATGAAGAGTAATGGGGAGAGGACAGAGAAAAAGGAGCATCAAAACCTCAAATTTAAAGGTGTATTTTAGAGAGAGAGGCAGATGGTATAATAAGAGGAAAGTATAAGAGAGTAGTGTATTTGAGAGAGAGACAGATACTATAATAAGAGGAAAGTATGTATCACAGAGAGTTAGATGCTATAATAAGAAGAAAGCATCACTTTTAATTCCACATCTGAGCGACCTAATACAATAGAGCGCGATGCTATAATAAGAAGAAAGCGTCACTTTTAATCCCACATCTCAGCGACCTAATACAACAGAGCATTTTTTTCACGAGTTTTGCTCCCAAAATTCTCACGGGTTTCTTTCCAAAATTCCTTTCAATTTTTTTCGCGCTTCTGCTTCCAAAATTCTCACGGGTTTGCTTTCAAAATTCCTTTCAATTTTTCTCATGGGTTTTGCTTCTAAAATTCTCACGGGTTTGCTTCCAAAATTACTGGATCAAACGTGGGTTTGCTGGTCTCACGGCCTCAGGTTTGACCCTTTCAATTATGCTATGGTTAAAGCCAGTGTTTGAAAACTCGCCGAGTCGAGCCGGACTCGCCCAGTCTCGGGAATCGTCTGCTATCGAGACGGTTCTACGAAAAAAATGAGAATCGCCCGTGTTTAGAGAAAACCGGGCGATTCTGAATAATGAATCGCGAGTCTCAACAAAAAAAACTATATTTTTTAGATTTACATGTGGCAGCCTCACGATAGTGACACGTGGCCACACGTGGTAACTCACCTCACGCTTGCCTCCGTCGCGTTTCTACACGTGCATAGTGGAGTGTCGTGAAGAGGTCCTCGAAGAGCATACTCACAACATCAGTTTGAGAAGTCAAAGCCATTTAATGAAAAGTGGTCTGTTTGCATAAAAGATGAAGGGGTCCCCAATAGTATACTCACAATATCAGTTTACATGGTCTTTTTGCATAAAACAAGTCAAAGCCATTTAGTTTAAGTGGTCTTTTTGCATAAAAGAAAAAGATATGATGAAGAAGTGGCCGATAGTATCCTCACAACATCAATTTGAAAAGGAAGCGATTTATCGAAAAGAGGTAGGTTATTGGAAACTTGTTTGCACAAAATAAAATAAAATAAAAGATCTGATAAAGAGGCGTCCGACAGTTAACTCACAACATCAGACATCAGTTTAAGAAGTCAAAGCCATTTATTACAAAGTGGTAGGCTACTGGAGAACGCCATTGATCAAGATAAACCTCAATTTTGTAAATTTTTTATATTAAATAAAAGAAGAAGAAGAGACGGGAAAATTGTAATGCTAAATTAGCGCAGCAAACATCGTTTACATCTTTTAGAGAACCAACAATATTCCATGGGTTTAGAACTTTTAGACAGTGAGATTGTTGGAAAACTTAAATTTCGCTTCTTTTTTTTATCTAAGAATAATCATTGGTGTCCAAAACATAATTACGTGCACTCCATGTATATCGCCAAATTCACGTTGGGAAAGTACATAAAACGTCCATTTACCTGTGGCATAAAGTGATCACAATTAATTTAGATCATTAGATGTGAAATGGAGTGGTTGCATTTATTTCATTGATCAAGCGTAAAGTCTAAAAAAAAATTTCTCGAACTTTATGGCACACTCAAGCAACTAGATTTCACATCATATGGTTGTAAGTAATTTTGATCTCCTTATATCAAAGGTAAATAGTCTCATTATATACAATCTCATCTACATTCTCATTCACCTTTAGCATTATGACACGTTACATTAAATTAAAAAAATAGTTGCATAAGCTGATTGATTTTTATGGAAATTTTTCCCCTCTTTTCTCATAGAAATGAAATGACTATAAATCCAAACACCACAAATAATTGGAAAAAATTTGGTATGAGGTTAAAAAAACTGTAGAATTTAGGTCCATCTCAAAAATCCCTCATAAAAGGTTGTTTTAATGTTGGAAAATTCTCTAATTGATCATCTTGATATCGAGATATATGAATATGAAAAAAAATAGATTTTAAGTACCAATATTATTTGGACCATCCATTTTCAATATTTTTATATATTTATAGATCTACTTAATTTGAACCATTTTTGGAGTTTAAACTTTTTATAATTAGATATGCAACTAGATTCTCTTGCCATCCTAAAGCATTTTTACGTCAAAATTACATCTTTTGAAAAATTTTGGAGATGCGTTTTACTTTAATTGTTTAATATAAATAGAAAATATAATATTAATCATTGAAATCTACCCAACATAATCACAATTAGATAATTTACATAACATAATATTCAGTCTCCTCCAATTTCCTAACATATTTTATATTTCAATTTACTAAATGTACTGGCCAACCCTTCTACCAAACAAATTAACCCAATTTTTCTAGTTTTTCAATTAATTTTGATATATTTTTCTTCAATTATGTCTTATAATTTTGATATTTGATTGAAGTTATGTAGACAATTTTTTAAGATTTTTATAACATATAAAAACACAAAAGTAAAGGTTTATCGTAATATAAACATGTTTTTCTGAAATTCCTATCATACCAAAAACATGTCATTTCCAACCATGTTATTTCAACATCATGTCACACAGAAGAAATACATGTTATTCCTAATTATAAATAGACGTCAAACAACCACTAAATATACGCAAGGATGTTTAGGCCAAAACACGTCTGGTATTTATATTCGAAATCATGCCATTAAATAAAGAAAAATTTATCAAAATATACCTATATAGAGATTACTTTAAAAATCGTACCCATTTCAACTATTCTAACTCGTAATCATGTGTATTTTGACTAGCTTATTAAACTTAAATTAAAATATATGAACAAAATGTAATGTTTTGACAAATTTCCCTTCCAAGTATTAATTTTAGGAGAAGGTTACCTATACATATTTTTATGAATTTTTTTATTTTCCAAATACACCCAAAGACTACACCCAAAATTTGATAACATTAGCTTGGATCAGCGTTATCAGGATCAAACTGGCTATCGAATTGGTGAGGGGTCTTGTCTAGTCAAACCGTTCAAGCCATCAGACAAAGCAATTGGACAGGATAAAAAAAGCTGCTCAATATTGTTGAGCAAATCTGATCATTCAAAACTTGTTGGTCAGACTAGTCAAAATTAGTCAAATATTAGTTATAAGTTTTTGCCAATCCCTATTATACTTTGGAACAGAGAAACTAAAATATCGGTAGGCAGTCAAAGTAGTCAGACCAACTGATCCGCTTTAGGTGTGTAAATTTAATTTCGACAACTTTTAGCTCTTATGGCATTCAATAAAGATAGATACACGGTGAACAATCTCCAAAACATAACACTTACCCCCAAAAAAAAAAAAATTCTCCAAAACACAACTAATGCTTTGGCACGTACAATGACCATCGGAGAATGTTTGATAGAGGATAGAAAAGTATTTCGAATGACACATTCTAATAAGAGTACGGTTTCTATAAGGTCACAACCTTAAACAATCCAATTAAGGTGCACATCCAAATTTTATTATAGTAAAAATTGTTAAGATTATCTAAAAATTTATTTTCATATCTAATTATAAAATTTAAATTTTAAAAATGGTTAAAATCAGGTAGATCTATAAACATTTCGATCTATACTATTTTTTAAACTTGAAATTTTATAATTATATATGAAAATAAAGTTTCAAGCCCTTACAAAAATTTTCGATACCGAAAAATACATTATGACACTATTTAAAGGTGCGCCTTACTTCGATTGTTTGATGCCTCATGTCTATACAAACCACACCCCTTAATTAAATCCCCTTCCAAGGGAAATGAGAAGGAGAAGGAGAAGAAAGAGAGATGGGCAAGGCTATCCAGTTTAAGACCCCCAAGATCAGCTCACTCCTCTCCACCTTTGCAGTAGTATCAACCACAAGCTTAGGAACCCCACACGTGCCATACTCCCAACACCCATCATACCCCTTAATCAATCTCTCTAACCTTTCCCACGTGCAAGGCTTGTGCCATGATCCCTCTCCTCCGCTTCCTCTCTCCTCCAACCTCCTCCTCCACTCTCTCTCATCCTTTGGCCTGCACTCTATCACTAGAAGCCGGGCCCCATATTTTGAGGCCAATTCTAGCACTCTTTCAAAGAGTTTGGCACGTGCAAGTGGGCAATCAATGACCACACTAAGCCCCATCTTCAATTGGGTCTCTGCTATACTCCATAGCACGGAGTACGATACATCGTTAAGTAGATCTGTGGCATAGGCGTCTTGGTCATCGTGTTTGTTGTTGTTAGATTGACAGATTTCGAGGGCTTTCTCTATGGGACGTGTCTGGTCGCGCACATCGTCTTTGTCGAGGTACGGGCATCTGAGGGCTGCCGCTATGGAGCACGCTAACGTCGACTTGCCGGTGCCTGGATGGCCCTTCATCGCGATCAAAAGCGGGGACTTTTCCATCTCTCCCTGTGTGTATGTGTGTGTGAGAGGCATCTACCATACCAGTTCCTTATATAAGATCAACGAATTGGGAATTGAAAAGTTGAGAAATCTCTTTCTCATGATTATACAAAAAAACTCGAAACCATTGCCAAATGTATATGCAACCATATCCAGAAAAGGTCCTTCGTGGAACTGAAAGTGACCCCATATTGTCTTGAAGTGTTCTTGGTCCATGGGTAATTATCAATCTTGTCCTTTATGGATAATTCTAAGCCATAACTTCTGTCGATTATTTTCTAAATCAAAGGGCTAAGGGTAGGAAAGGGCTGGGTAGTGACGGATGTGGTTTCCATTATCACTGATACTAATTCACTAATACATTTAAAAAATTAACTCGTAAATCAATTGAAAATTTTCAGTGATACCAATTTATTAATACCTTTAAAAAATTAACTTCTAAATCGTTCTGATTGAATTACCCAAAAAAAAAAAAAAAAGCTGGGGGCAGTCATGAAATATTGGGATTTTATGCAACAATATTAGAAAAGTAGGAAGGGATAAGGATAAGGCTTGGGCTTGTCGTTACCTTTCAAATACCCCCAAAAAATAAAATAAAATAAAATAAAAAGCTGGGGGAAGTTATGTAATTTTGAGATTTCATGTAAGAATATTAGAAAAATAGGAAGGGATGGAAAAAGTTTATATAAGGATGAATTACGGATGCACTTCAAAAATCCATCCGAAAAAGTAGTTTTAATGTTGAAAAACCCTTTGATTGATTATCTCCACATGAAGTATGACCATGAAAAATAAAAAGATTTTAAATCTCAAAAATAATACATTTTCCAACATATTATCTATACCATCCATTTTCAAGATTTTCATATGTTTATAGGTCTACTTGATTTTATTAATTTTTTAAATTTAAAATTTTATAATTAGATATAAAAATAGATTTTGGGATAATCCTAACAACATTATACATCAAGGTTATATACCATGATAAAATTTGAAGGTGCACCTTACCTCTACACGAACTGCACCCTAAGATAAAATTGTAAGGGATAAGAAGCTGAGATAGGATGGTGAAATGGTCGGTTGCGCCACGTGGTACTTCAGAGATCAATTACACAATGGGTTCATGTTTAATGCTCAAAAACAAATGCTAAAGGAAAAATTTTAAAAAAAAAACACAAGACCATAGTTTCTATGCAATTTACCAGCAACTTGATTTTTGCTCTAATTTTTTTCCCAAAACAAAATTTTTATACAAATACCCCCAAAGGAAAAAGGTCATTCATTTTAGATGAAAATGCCCTTTATTTACACAAAAATCATTTTGGCTAGATTTTTGGACCCAGTAGCACATTGCCAGAGCACACCATCACATTGTCGGAGCGCACAAGTGTCGGACCGCTCTGAGACAACTAGCGGACTGAAACTGACTACTGTCGAACTGCCCCTTTCATAGTGCCAGAGCCCTAGAATCCAGTAACATCTACTATCGGAACGCAACTGTTGGACATCACTTTACACCAGCGTTTAAAAAATCGCCGAGTCGAACCGGACTCGCCCGG